CATTTATTGTGTGCATAATGATGTATCTTATTAATATTTGAGTAAAACTTTAAAGACCAATATTAATATTACATACCTGTCGTTATTCTACGATCATCACAATTTGATTAGGTGATTAGCAAATAAAATCACAAGATGATTAACAAAATCTAACCAATTACAATGAATGTTCGCTATGCTACTCTAGTCACTAAATCAAGGTTACAGAGTATAAATTAATTATACCTGGTTGTTATACATATAAGCTAAATTATCACTTCTACTTATATCCAACTAACCAGAAAATAAATATTACAAAATTTTTATAAAATTAGCAGGTATAATATTTTAAAATTTCAGTATTTAAAGTTTGAATATAATTTGAACTAATTTATGAATATTGATTTTAAATCAAGATCAATTTAACAGGTAGCTGTTATTTCAAAAATTTTGTAAAAACTCGAAAGGCTTTAAATTTGCTCTCGGCATCTCCAGTTAATTAAAATTTTGGATAGTTTTAATTATTCAAAAATTTATTAATAATAGAAATATAATCAGATGCTATTATAAAAACACTAAATAAAGTCAAAATAATTTTAAATAAAAATAATTTTTAATGAATAAGATTTTTTAAAAAAAGAAAAGTATTTATAATTACCTATTCACGACTTTAGGAATCCTACAAAATTTTGTATTGGGAATTATAACCAAGACATTCAGCTTCTTCAATAGGAACAATTTATCAACTTCATCAGGAATTATTAAAATCAGAACTTTAATTTCTTTTAGTCTTGAAGCTAAGTCAGACTGTTTGATTGCTTCCCATTGATGTTCTACAATTATATAGCTTTAGTATTAATAAATATTAGATAATATATATTGATATGTATATATACTACAAATTTCAAATGGGCAGTTAGCGTTAGTGCAGAATATAATCTCTGCAATTTTATCAAATTTATTGGGATGTTCAAGTAAATAATTAGCTAAATTATTTTTTTTTTTTTAGAAGATTTTCTGTTCTTTAATAACTTTAGGACGATTGATTTTTGGTAATTTATAAAGTTGCTCATTTTTTGCAAAGTTTTATAAATTAATCAAGTAATCTACGCATGTACCCTGAGCATATAATTAATTTCTCCAGCTTAAGGTCTGATGAAACCTTAAAAGCAGTACAGAGTGCTTAAAATAATTCTTAAAAAAATTATAACAATAAAAAGAAATATTAAATATTAAGCATTACCTCCCATAGACCTTACAAGAAATTAAACTTTTTAATTCCAAGATGTCTAATTAATTTAATTGTATCTTGTGCCATTAATTCAATCATGATAAGATTATCATAAGAATAGGGTTGCTGGTGCAGTTATAATCTAATAGCGTGCCACTGGTGTACCACTAAAACTTTTTGGTGCATGGCATGCCATTAGACGCACCATTATATTATATTATCTACTTTTAACTAATCCATATTTGTATTTAATTAGCAGAAATATTTTTAATTAATCA